TTTTTTAAGAATTCAGGTCAGTTGTTTTGTATAGTGTCTCAATATATTGTGAATTTCTCTGATTGTTACCTCATTATTAGATTCATGTTAAACATTTTCTTGGCAAGAATACTCATTACAGACTATATACTTCACATCACATCAGGAGTTAGCTGCTTTGTTTTTAAAATACCCTTGGAAGAATAATAATAAAGGCTGACATTTATTGAATACTTAACATGTGCCAGGCACTTGTTAAGTGCTTTATGTGTATTTATTTACTTTATCCTCACAATAGCCCTATGAGTCCAGTATCAATATTGGCTCCATTTTACAGATGATGGAACTGAGGCACTGAGAAGTCAAGTAGCCTGTCCAAGGCCAAGAGTTTTAAGTGATGAAACCAGAATTTGAAATCCCTAATCTGTGCTTTTTCCCACTAGGTTAATTCCCCTGAATACTCCCTTAAATTATTATCTAGTCAAATTACCTGTAAAATTACAAAAGTAATTAAGGGTTTGAAATATAGACGATCACTTCAACAACCAAGACAATGCAGTTTAAACCTAATGTTCAGAATTAAAATGTAAATCATATATAGAGTTATTATTAATCCATACTAATTTTAGAACCATATCTGATAGTCTAGCTTTATTCTTTTCTCTTTTTTATTACTATAAAGAATGTATATCCTGCTATCATGATATTGTGATACTTTTCTTGGACATTCTAAGAAAGTTTATGATTCAACTTTTGGACGTGACAACCTACCTCTCTCTCTTCCCCCTTCCCCTTTTATAACTTTGGAAGAGATGAATACATATCTATTATTTTTGTCTTCCTGTACCAGAAACCCTGGACCCACTTTTCATGGATCCAGATTTGGCATATGGAACTTATACAGGAAGCTGTGGTCATGTAATGCATGCAGTGTGCTGGCAGAAGTAAGTTGTCCTTCTGACATGTTCTTGAAAGAGACTAGGAACATTGAAGTTCATTCAAGGCCACAAAAAGGCATGTTTTTTCATGTCTTCTTTCCTTCTTATTTGAATAACTGAAGCAGTTTTAATTACTAATTCTGTTTGCATGATACTAATTATTACCAACTTTGGAAAGTGATGTGTAAAGTTATCAACTTAAGATTTTCACTGTTCCTTTGTGCTTGCTCTCCACAAACTACTCAGTTGCTCTCCATCAGTATTCGTGTAAAAGGAGCAGTAATCTTTATAAAAATCTCATTTCCCTCAAAACATACTGCAGTGAAAAGTATCTTTGAGATAGAATAGGACAAGAGGTGTTAGTTCTATTAATATTTCTGGAAAAGATAAAAATTCAGAAATGTAATTCCTAAGCAATCTTTTGTATAGAGTTTACCCATTTGACATTAGATTAAAATATATAATTTTCCTATGGTATCTCTCACTACTTCAGTTGGCCATTGGAAACTGAGGGAAGTAGTGTCTATTAATACATTGTATGTCCATTTATTGAGGCAGGAGACAAGTTATGATTTAGGAAACTTATTTTAAATTTCTATGTGTCCTGATGTATTTTCCACTTTGCCCTCAAAAGAATAGGCAGCCTACTTGTTCTATAATTATAACTTGTGAATTTTTGTGTATAGGTTCTGTGGAGCAAAAATTTCAGATTTTTTTACTTACACTAAAGCAAAGATATGCGTGTGTTTCTAAATGGGCCTGTATCTTTGGTATTTTGCAGGTATTTTGAAGCTGTACAGCTGAGCTCTCAGCAGCGCATTCATGTTGACCTTTTTGACTTGGAAAGTGGAGAATATCTTTGCCCTCTTTGCAAGTCTCTGTGCAATACTGTGATACCCATTATTCCTTTGCAACCTCAAAAGATAAACAGGTATATTTTAATTTATATTGTGGTTAATTTTTTAAAGGCTGTTTTTAGTTCTTTAATTTGTGCCTGTTTTTGTTAGGTTATTAGTTTATTTTTTACTCTTTAGGGGAATTAATACTTTTCATTTTGTGACTTGAATCATACTTTTAAAGTATAATTAAAAGCCTCATATTTTGGTCTCTAGGAGAACTAGACTGTTCATTTACTCAAATCTGTATGTCGTGCATATATTTTCCAATAGCCCTTAAAGTAAATATAACTCTGATCTCTGTCTTAGCACTCCCATAAGGAGAAAAGATGCAGAAAAAATTCATTCCTATCATATGACCCTTTGCCACTACCAGAGTTACCATTTTGGAATTTGGTAGCTCTAAATGTCTTTGTATTATTTTCTTAATTCTATTTTTCTGAAGATCCAAATACTATAGAGCTTTAGAGACATGGACAAAATGTTAACTATAAAAATAAATACAAACACTAGATTTATTATATATATCGTTGGACAGTGTTTGAGCATTTAGAGTTTTTAAATTTTTATATTTGCTCATCTATCAGTGGAATTTAACAGCAAATTCTTTTTTTTATGGACACTTAATTAAATGTTTTTATATTCTCACTGTTCTGCATGATGATAACAGTGCTATTTATATTGTTGTTATTATTTCAGTTTAAAACTCAATGAGGCTGGGCGCGGTGGCTCACGCCTGTAATCCTAGCTCTCTGGGAGGCCGAGGCGGACGGATTGTTTGAGCTCAGGAGTTC